CCATAAAATGCAGATGTCTGCTCCTCTTAAATATCTTCCCTGTTACCCTTTCTTCAATAGGTAAAATTCTAATGATTAATGTGTGGCGCTTGGACCATGATCCACTCACTTCCATCTGTGTCAGACAATGCTAATTAATCATAGAGCTTTTGTCCACAGAAATTGGATTTAGCGTCAGAATCCTTCTGAACACAGCATCCCAAAGCAACTGACCATAATTAACACACAAAAAATCTGTTGGACATGTCTCCCATGGCACTCTGTGAATGACTTTACTAATAGCAAATACAGTACTATGTTTAAATGATTTGCTTCCTAAATTTTAGTCTTCCCTTTTATTTTGGTCGTAAGACTTCAGTGATAGGACCATTCATCTTCCTAAATCCAGCCCCTGTAAACAGTATACCACATAACACAGTAGGCACCAAGTAAAAGTTTTGTTGGATCGAGTGTAAGTAAATACTTTTAGTTTAAACTTATGTGACTACCAAAATGCTAAACATATGTTATTGGTTAATAATTAGAATGGCTAGCATTTATTAAGCACTTACTATTTGCCACATATGGAAGTAAGCAATTCACATATATTAATTTTTTTAACTTAAACAATGATCCCGTGATATAATTATGTTATCCCCGTTTTATAAATAGCAATACTGAAATTCAGAGAGCTTAAATAATTTGTATAAGGTCACAGGACCAAACCCAGATGTTCTAACCCCCAAGCCACACTCTTTTTTTTTTTTTAAGATTTTATTTATTTATTTGACAGAGAGAGACACAGCGAGAGAGGGAACACAAGCAGGGGGAGTGGGAGAGGGAGAAGCAGGCTTCCCACCAAGCAGGGAGCCCGATGCGGGGCTCAATCCCAGGATCCTGAGATCATGACCTGACCCGAAGGCAGACACTTAATGACTGAGCCACCCAGGTGCCCCCCAAAGCCACACTCTTAACCACTACACTGGTTATAACAAAAAGCCCACATAAAACATAATTTTCCATCTCACACTGCATTTATATAACTGTACTACTGCCCATTACTGGTTTTCTAGAACTTTGCCAGAAAATTAAGTATCTTTCGCTGCTCCTTTCTGGACTCCCCCTGCTAAAACTACAACAACAAACCACCCAAACTTGTGAATTAACTGATAAGAAATGGATCAAGTTTCCAGAGAAGTCTCTTTCTCCTTTTCCAGTTTTTTATCACTCAAACCATTTCAGGGTCTACTCTGTGTTGGCCACTGTGACAGGTGCCATGGGGTGTAAAGATGAATAAGACTTGCTTCCTGACATCAGTGTACTCACAGTCTAGTAGGGAAGCAGCTGCATAATGACAATGGGCTGTCACTGAGAAAGGCAGGTAATGGTTTGGGTGAATGAGGAAGAGACACTTAGTTTTGCCTAAGAGAATCCTGAACAGTGGAAAAGAATCATCCAGGAGGGAAGGGAAGGAAGGGCACACCGCAGAAAGAATATATGCAACAGTGTGCCTTAGCGTCTAAATCCAGGCATTCCAGGGACGTAACTGTGGATTTCAAAGTCCTCGGTAGGTGCCTCGTACCCCTGTCAACATGATTTGGAACCTTCCAGATAGAACTCCAGTAGGTCCGCCCTGGAACTCCAGAGTTCCAGGCACTGAGGCTACCATGGTACATATGTTTCCTCCACCAACACATGGAAATATTCTTCTATTTATTTATTATTTTAATGCAGTGATTGATCACGGTTGTTGAAGGGGATCATGAGTTTTTGGGGATTTTAGTGCACCTTTTACATACCCTGAGGGTCCACCTTCTGAAATCAACGAATGCCTCATGAGCATATTCTTTCAGAACTCTTCAAAAAGAGGCACATAATTTCCCCAATTTCCTATGAAAGACATTATTCAAGTGTCCTCAAGTGACAGATGGTCTAATAATTTGCAAATACGTGCTCCTTACACTCTGAGGTCAGCTCTGTTTTACTTAAGAGTTTTCACTCACACAAGTACCATCTGGAGCACACATCCTCTATCTTAGGCTTCAAATAAATCCCGATTTACCTCAGAAATATTTGCCAAGAGTCTGCTTGCTAGAAAAATTACCAGTTTCTCCTCTTGGAGGCATGTCTTTGCAATCTATGACACATAGTAGGCACTTCATAAAAGTCCATAGGGATTCTCTTTAGGACGCTACAAAAGACACCTGTTGAGACAAAGGTTTGGGGGAACTGAAGCTAAATTTTTTTTTTTTTTTTTTTTTGGTGTGTGTATGGGGGGGGGGGTGGGCAGTTTGGCAAGATTAAGCAATTTTCTTTTAGTTGGAGCATCCTAATCCAAATTAAAGCTGCGTGTGCCACATCAACATTCTGACTCAACGCTGCTGAAGTTTCTTTGCCAAACATCTTCTCAGCTATCAGAATTAGTAAGTCTGGGCGCATTTTGATCTGATGATGTATGTATATAGAAGAATGGATGAATGCTTGAGGATGAACTTCAAATCTTGAAGGAATTGCGGGCTATTGTGCTCTTTGAAAAGCCTGAGGAATGCTTTTGTGGGGTCTACCCCCAGGGCATGCCGGGGGCATGTTGGTGGCTAACATCTTGCCAAGAGGAATCTGGGCGTTGGTGCTCATGTTTTGTCTCTGGAGCAAAATCCAAGGCGCATATAGGATTTCATCAATAATTCCAAGGTGTTATCCAACCCCAGTCCTGGGCCCACTGCACTCTGGAAAATGCCTTGAGCATTTAAGCTAAACCACTGAGAAAGGCAAGGAAGCTAATCCAACTACTCTTCTTTTGGGCCAGTCATTTAATCCCCAAATGCTCTCAGTACTGGCTAGCCTACCGGGACTGGAAATGGACCACTCCTGTCCCTTCACACTGACTTCCTCTTGAGAGCAGGAAAGCATCCCTTTCCTCTTTCAAGTGGACCCGGATGCAGATTCAACTAGTTTTAACTCTTTTTCAAACTTGATTAATAAATAGTCCTTTAAGTCAATTCCTGGTAGGAGGTGGGTCCTGCACACATCATTTTTTTTTTCGTAAGTAGGGAAGTGAGTAATTCCTAAATTTTAGGCCAGGAAAAAAAATCTGGAACTTTACCAAGTTCATTACATTTTGGGGTAACAATTATAAAAGTTTTTTTTTATAAATTTATTTAGGAAATCACCCCCAATTCCATTATCTAACAATAATGTTTTTCCCATTTCTGTTTTTAAAAATCTAGTCTCCGAAATCTTAAAACAACAAAAGTGGGATAATGGCATCTAAAATTTTCCAGAATACATTTCATTACTAAAAATATTTTAGTCAGTCTTACACAATTGTGTAACACTGTTGAATCACAGATTTGTACCTCTGAAACAAATAATACATTTTATGTTAAAAAAAAAAAAGAAGAAGAAGATAGCAGGAAGGGAAGAATGAAAGGGGGGAAATCGGAGGGGGAGATGAACCATGAGAGACTGTGGACTCTGAGAAACAAACTGAGGGTTCTAGAGGGGAGGGGGGTGGGGGGATGGGTTGGCCTGGTGATGGATATTAAAGAGGGCATGTACTGCATGGAGCACTGGGTGTTATACGCAAACAATGAATCATGAAACGCTACATCAAAAACTAATGATGTAATGTATGGTAATTAACAGAACATAATAAAAAAAATATATATATAATAAATAAATAAAATAAAATAACATTTAAAAGTAATGTGACCACCCAAATATTTTCAGCACTGATATTACCTTCTGAATTGAATAGTGATATCTGAAGTTTTAAATCTATTTATTTTTTTAAATGTAAATCACATTTTATTTTGTCATCAGAGGTAATTAAATTTGATACATACCTTCTATAAGTGTTTTAGATGAAAGGTTTTTTTTTTTTTTTAGTGTTCCAACAATTCACTAGTTGCGTATAACACACAGCGCTCATCACAACTGTGCCCCAATTTTTAAAAAAATCTATGTATTTAAGGATGCCTGGGTGGCTCAGTTGGTTAAGCATCTGCCTTTGGCTCGGGTCATGATCCTGGGGTCTGGGATCCAGCCCCACATCAGGCTCTTTGCTCAGGAGGGAGCCTGCTTCTCCCTCTGTCTGCTCTGCCTGCCGCTCCACCTGCTTGTGCTCTCTCTCTCTCTGACAAATAAATAAATAAAATCTTTAAAATAAAAAAAATCTTTTAATCATTTTCCTATATCCATAATTCCTAAATATTTTCAAAAACTTGACATGCAATATCACCTAGTAATCTGCAGAATCCTCTTTGAGAAATGCTATATAAAATCAAACCAGGAAATCTATCAAGGAAGTTAACAGAGAAGGCTCTAGTAAGAAAAACCTGGGTTCGAACCCTGGTTCTCTCACTAACCAACCAAATTAGCATGAATAATACATAAATAACTAAAGTCATAACATTGATCGACCACATGCTATGTTAACAGGCACTTTGTGAAGGGTCTTGCATGTGTTAATTTCACTTGCTCCTAGAACCCATATGGCTGGTGCTATTAGTATTCCTACTTTGCAGATGAGGATATAGAGGCTAAGGAATATTTCCTGCTTCAGCTCTCAAGGTGAATCAATATGAACTTGAACTGGCCCATGTCCACTCTACCAGACTGAGTTCCCACCCTCCTCCTCTGGCTGTTGGAGACCTGGCTCCCTTACAACTCCCACTCCACCTGCATGGTTAGTTTCCCTAACATTGGGTTACTTCTCATTCCCAGCCTTAGCACCAACTCTAACACTCATCCCTCCTCTTCACCCTTTATGTTTCCCCCTAAATGCTGCTTGCTCCAGGAAGCCTTCCCGGTACTCCATTATAGCTCACTCGCCGCAACCGGCCCGCGCTCGGCGTTCTCCCGCAGCTTGTCCTTCGCGTCCACTGCTGCCACCTCCACCCACCGCAATGGAAGAGGAGATCACCGCACTCGTCATCAACAATGGCTCCGGCATGGGCAAGGTGGGCTTTGCTGGGGATGACGCCCCCTGAGCCGTGTTCCCGTCCATCGTCGGGCGACCCCAACACCAGGGTGTGATGGTGGGCATGGGCCAGAAGGACTCCTATGAGGGCGATGAGGCCCAGAGCAAGCGGGGCATCCTGACCCTCAAGTAGCCCATCGAGCGCAGCCTTGTCACCAACTGGGACGACATGGAGAAGTTCTGGCACCACATCTTCTACAACGAGCTGAGCGTGGCCCCCGAGGAGCACGCCATGCTGCTGACCGAGGCCCCCCCTGAATCCCAAGGCCAATCACGAGAAGATGACCCAGATCATGTTCGAGACCTTCAACACCCCAGCCATGTACGTGGCCATCCAGGCTGTGCTGTCCCTGTATGCCTCTGGCCGCACCACTGGTATTGTCATGGACTCTGGGGACGGGGTCACCCACACTGCCCATCTACGAGGGGTACGCCCTGCCCCACGCCATCCTGTGTCTGAACCTGGCTGGCCGGGACCTGATGGACTACCTCACAAAGATCCTCACGGAGCGTGGCTACAGCTTCACCACCACCGCCGAGCGGGAAATCGTGCGTGACATCAAGGAGAAGCTGTGCTACGTCGCCCTGGACTTCAAGCAGGAGATGGCCACAGCTGCGTCCTCCTCATCCCTGGAGAAGAGCTATGTGCTGCTCGACTGGCAGGTGATCACCATTGGCAACGAGCGGTTCCACTGCCCAGAGGCTCTCTTCCAGCCTTCTTTCCTGGGTATAGAGTCCTGTGGCATCCACGAGACCACCTTCAACTCTATCATGAAGTGTGACATGGACATCCGGAAGGACCTCTACACCAACACGGTGCTGTCTGGCAGGACCACCACGTACCCTGGCATCTCCAACAGGTTGCAGAAGGAGATCACAGCTCTGGTGCCCAGCACGATGAAGATCAAGATCATCGCTCCTCCTGAACGCAAGTACTCGGTGTGGATCGGGGGCTCCATCCTGGCCTCGCTGTCCACCTTCCAGCAGATGTGGATCAGCAAGCAGGAGTATGACAAGTCAGGCCCCTCTATTGTGTACCACAAAGGCTCCTGGTATTCCATTATACACTCTCTTCATTATGCATTATCTTCATGTGCACATTTTCATTGAGAAAACTTCTAGGGATTAGTTCTTTTTGTAACTATGAGTTCATTATCCATCTCCCTTGCTAGACTGAGGCTCCAAGGTGCCCTCACATCTGTATTTCACCCAACAATGTGAATAAGTGACTCATTAATGACATGTCATTCTCAATTCTTTAGCGTGTGACATGGTTAGTTCCGATTAGCTCATTTCTAAATTTGTGGCTTTCGGCATGACAAAAGGGAAGTACAAAGGTACATGAAACTGCTAAGTTAAATTGTAGGACTTTGGGTGATTGACCTTGAGAAGGAGTGGGTTTTGAAAGCCATTCCATTCTCTGTCCCTTTTAGAACAGAAGCTTGAATCTGTATACACCATTTTTGCCAAGAGAGTTAAATGGATGGCTGTGGAGGGAGTGCATTTACATGGCTTTTCCAGTAACATGAAGCTTTAAGCCCATGGAACTGTCCCCAAACAAAAATTTGGTCTTGGCCACCTAGCTTCTCCCACCCTGGTGAGTCAGGTGGAAGAGTGGGGTAAGTGGTCCTAGAGGGTGTTGTCCTAAGGCTCGCTTTCTCCTGTAAGGGGCACCACTGCCTCAGTTTCCATGGCCAAATAAAGGACATTCTGCATCAAAACTTGTCTTGAAACTTCACAATGCAAATGAGCACATTAGTGAGGCTGGGAGGTCTGGCAGGGAGTAAAAAAAAATCTATTTCATTTTGCTCAGTTCCTAAGTTTATTTGGCCATGTTTAGTCATAGCATGCTGTCTTGGATTAGACTGCACCAGAAGCAGACCCTGAGATAAGGATTTAAGTGAAAGAAGGTTTTTTGGGAGGTGAATTTATAAAAAGCATCGGAAGCAGGGAAAGGAAGTGAGATTGGAAAGGGAAGGAGGCCAGTCCATGGGGCATAAATAAGCAAATTTACCTTTGGAGGCAACTGGAACTCAGCCTTGCTGGGGACCCATGGGGGGAGACACCCACCATAGAGGTGACCTGTCTCAGGAGTAAGGAAGCTAGATTTTATTCACCAGCTCTCATCAGTCAGACACTGAGGGCTGCTTTGGGGGCCACTAGCTCCCTTGTACTTTGGGCCTGCTTTGCATGGTATCTAGAGAATGATGGCAGGCAAGGACTGGCAGGTGCTCACAACAGACCACTGGTTGTCATGCACAGGAACTGAGTGCCAAGGGGAGATGGGTGGGAGCATGTCTGCTGCCCCCGTGTCCCTCTTTACCTTTTCCTTTTTCACACAGGGCACCCATTCATACCTGGTGGAAGTAGTACTTGAGGACCAAAATTTGGAAAACAAAATTCCAAAATTTGGCATTCAAGCAGTTCAGTGAGTTCCCAGAAGCAATCCTTTAGCTGAACACACGGAGCCAATGCTATGCTATAGTTTGTAAAACTCCAAAGGGAATTCCTGTAAATGCCACCAAATACCAAACATATAAATCTCAAGGCTCAGCAGAAAGAGCCTTGGGAGATCAGAACTTATGGGATGCTACATCAAAAAGCCATCTAAGGATCCAAACTTAGAATCAGGTTCTAACTCAGGTTGTCTGTGAAAGAGAAAAGTTCTCTTTCCCACAGCCAAGGGCACAGGGGATGCCATACTAACAGTGTCCTGTGTATGGTGATGGCAGGCTACATCCGCAACAAGCTAGAGATCATCATATGGAGGTACAGACAAAGACATAGAGCTCTGAGGACCCCACTTCTATGGAATGTCTTACATTCTAGCAAAGTCAGACAATACAATACCAGCAAACCAAAAGAGAAAATGTTCATAGATGGTAGTAAAGGTTATGAAGTCATTTAAAAGGATAATGGGAGAAAGAGTAGCTGGCAGAGAATTACCTAAGGCTGAGTGATCTGAAATGGCATCTTTGAGGAGGTAAAATATGACCTGACACCTCCCTGCTTCCATAGGGGGAGAAAGAAGGGGATTTCAGGAGGACAGAACAGTAAGTTCAAAGGTCCTGAGATGGGAATATGATTGGAGTATTTAAGGACAGGGGCCTGGAGTACCCTGAATGAAAGGTAGAGTGCTAACAGTAAGGTTAACAAGGAAGGCTATAGCTGGAGCACGCTGGGTGGAAATTTGGTCAATTTTTCCATCCATTTCATTGTTCTTAAGGGGAAAAAAAAACCCAAAGCATCAGAGAACATTTGCTGAATACCAAATGATGCTCCCATGTTCTAGATTTCTGAGAAACCTAAGGAAATTCATCAAATTCTGTCTCTAGGCAGCATCCTAATGGTCTCATCTCATTCTTCAGCATATCCCACCAAGATCTCAAATGGCTTCACAGATTAAAACCAGCCCCTAAAAGCTGAATGCTGACCTACTCTTCAAAGATCTTATGTCCCAGTCCCAGAAAGCAATAATTGAACAGAAACAGGGCACAGTGTTGCTAGGACCCACTTCTTGCTGGAAGGAATTCTTCTTGGTCTACACCATCTGATTTCACTGATGGCTTCAACCCAGCCCCTTGAGGCATACCCCAGGGTGGTCCCCTTCTGGACTGCCATTCACTGATTCTGTAGGAAGGATCCCCAGTGGCACAGCCACAAGGCTCCCTCAGGTTGTCCCTTGAGGATGATATTGGGGAATCTGTCTCAGGAATGCACTTAGCCTTGTAAGACAAGAAGAAGGCTGGTTCTTCACTCTCTGGCAAAGCCAGAGTCAGGAGATGAGGGGAAAGAAGAGGCCAGTTCTTGGCCCTTGGGGACAGAGACATCACAACAGGGGGCCCCGTCATCCTGCAGGAGCCTGGACAAACCTCGATTTTATTTCACAGCCAGTTACTGGGCAGCGGATGTACGCGGACGGAGCAGGGCGCTCCTACAGAAGTGAACAGAGCACGGGCCCTGCCCTCAAGGGGTTATCCTATAATAGAAAGAAACACGGACTACTCCTGGTCATTCCAGGCAGAATGAAATCAGCGTCAAAAGGGACATTCAAACAGAGAACTTCAGGAGAGTAAGGGGAAGAGAAATTAATAAGCTCACTGCCTTTCTTTGGCTTGATGGCAGTTAACTGGGCTAACTAGGTACACATAGGATTTTATGGTTCCCTTGTCACACTCGTGAGTCAGGCTTTTTTAGCTGAGGAAAAGGCAACAGTGTGTCAGGCAACAGAGCACTATTTTCAAGAGATGCGGGGAAGTGAGAAGGACAGGAAAACAACTCATGAAAAGCTAGAACAATGTCCCCTGTTCCGCAAAGTGACAGCAACTCTGAGGGTTAGGTACTGAGATATCTTCTCATAAGAGGGTTCTCTCTCCCACCCTCACTACCTTCACCTTGTGCTTCTGCTGTTCTCTCTGCATCTGGGTCCTTCTTTCAAGATCTTGTTTTTAACAGACCCCTAGCCAGACAAGTCTGTTGGGTGGAAAGATCAACTCTTACACTTAACCTTGGGCAGGTTGCTTCACCTCTTTGTGCCTTGATTTCCTATCTGTGACAGGTGGATATTAATAGTACCTACCTTAAATGGATTTTGTGAGGATTAAATTAGTTAACACACAGAGACAGAATGATGCTACTTCTACCATTAGGCTAGGGTTCCGTAACTGTGTCCAGGGTAGCAGGCTCTCGTGGACAAAATGGCTATATACCAGTTCCGTTTACTTGGAAGGCAGCTAGGGTTATTAGAAGTGCAAGGTCTCCTGGATGCTTAGAAGCTTAGATTCCTTTCTTCTACATCACAGCACATTTTGAAATAAATTTTAAAACTTAAATTCCTATCATAAAATAATACAGGTTCATTAAAAACTATTTAGAAAAAAATAGTCTAACAAATAGCAGATGAAAATCACAGAGTAGAGGACATATGATTTAAGGGGACTGACCTTGCTACAGGCGTGGGCCAGTGGACTGGGCAGACTCTCCCCTGGGACTTCTGCTAGAGCTGCTAAAAGATACTCTTCTCTTCTGGGACCTGTAAGACATAGGATTAATATGTTTGAAGATTCTGATGGTGAAGAATAGAGAAGAAAGCAGATTCCAGCTTCCTGGAAGAAGAGAAAGAAAGGTGGGAAACGCAAGCTCTCCAATGACAGTGTGGGGACCTGGATCCAACACCTATTTTTTGGCCAAAAAGTTGTATGAGCCAATATGTTTCTTCCATAGATTTTTTCACTTCAACTAGTTTCGGCTGAGATTCTGTTACTTGTAAATGAAATAATTTTGACCAACCATCCAGAAATAACCACATTTGCATGTGTGTATACTTCCTTCCAGTCTTTCTTTCTCTTTCAAGCTCTCTGCATAGTTGTTTTTTTGTTTTGTTTTGTTTTGTTTTGTTTTGTTTAATGAGAGAGGATCTTAATCTACAAATTTTAATACTTTTTTTCTTTCCTGATCCTGTTACAAAGTTTAGTGCCTCTGGTTAGCATCTAAGTCTTTTTGAGAGAGGACAGAAGAATTTATGCTGTCCCCCACCCCCTCCCCTGTCACCCTTCTGCTCCCTGAAAGATATTTCAGAGGGCAAGGGGCTATCCCATGATACCCATGGGTTGGCAGTTCCTTCCACGCTCAGTTCTATAGTGCCGGGCTGGAGACCATCAGCTTTGATAGAGACTTTGGCCTTAGGTCAGCTTGGACTCCTGCCTGGTCTTTCAAAGCACTTTCCTTTTAAAGCCTCCAAACCCAGCATTTTCCATAAACATCTTGCTGCCTTTTTTTTTTTTAAGTGGAGAGAAATTCAAGGGTGAACATACTGTATATTAATGGTGGTCTAGGGACAAGCAACATGGACCAGAGTTTCAGGGATCCAAAAAAAGATGCACAGAGTGCATTGGACTGCCAAACAACCATTTGGAGCATAACTGAAAATTGAAAATGCTGTAATGACATGGTCAGAATTATACCTGCAATTCCTAAAGAAAATCTGAGGTGAAGTAGCCATTGCTTTCTAATTAGCATGATCTGATAATGCAGGCTACAGAACATTTGCTAGTAATTATGGTGCTTGCTTGCTCTGCTTATAGCTCAAAAATAACAGCAAAGTTTGTTTTGCTAATCTCGCCTCTGGATTTGTGAATTATTTGCTTTCATTATCTGAAAGATAAACTGGAAAGAAAAATCCAACGCAGGGGGAATTTTTATAAGACAGAACACTCGAGTTGTCTTTGGATGTGGACGCCACACTTAATTTAATAAAAACCAAAGCAGACCATGTTGGAAGCTCTAACGGAGGAATGTGTTTATAATGAGGGAAGTGCCACAGGTCAGAAAACAAACATGGGCTTCGAAACTGTGGATCATGATCATACCCACTATCTCTTATTCTGCTGGGTGATTCTGAGCAAGTCATATCACCTTCCCGGGTTCTGACTGCCCTGTTCTGCCCAGAGTAGCAATCATACCTGCTCTGCCCATCTCAGAGGCTGTGAAGAAAACAAGAGATAGTATGCTTTAGATGATTAAGATTTCTTTTATAAACACAAAACTATAACACTATTATTAATATTCAGATAATGTTCTCTAGAATTTACAGAGTGCTCACGCATCGAACAGATGGTGCTGTTATAATTCCTAGCCATCTTTCCCACTCTGTAGATCCCAGATGTCAGCCACTTGACTAGAAAGAGATTCCGTTTTAGGGGCACCTGGGGTGGCTCAGTTGGTTAAGCATCTGCCTTCAGCTCAGGGCACGATCCTGGAGTCCTGGGATCGAGTCCCACATCGGGCTCCCTGCTCGGCGGGGAGTTTGCTTCTCCCTCTGACCCTCCCCCCTCTCATGCTCTGTCATTCTCTCTCTCTCTCAAATAAATAAATAAAATCTTTTAAAAAAAGAGATTCTGTTTTAGAGTCAGGGAGTCAGGGATTTTCACCTCAGTACTGGCTGTGTGACCTTAGGCAAGTTAGTGACCTCTTTGGTCTTGGATACATCCTGGATGCAATGGGGATAAAGAAACACCTGCCACCTGCCTAGCTGCCTGAAACCTTTCTGCTAGATAGCAGGTACACATATGTATTTACAGTAAGCAGTCACACTCAAGTATGAAGTTCAAATAGGCTGATAGACGAGTACAGCAATTATAATAACATCCATAATAGCTGCTATTTTTTTAACCACTTTCTCTGCCTTGGGCACCATTCTAAAACCTTTACAGGCATGAACTAAGGGACGCTCATTGCAGTTCTGTGAGGAAAATGCTGTCATTCTCCCTTTATGGATGAGCAAACTGAGGCATGCAGGGATGAAATATTTTAGCCAAGTCCATCCAGCTAATAAGTGGCCCCGCTGGGATACGGTGCAGGAAGTCTGGCTCCAGAGCCTGCCCTGGAAACATTTATTCTGCATTGTCTCTCTAACTGCTAACATTTATTGAGGGCTTACTATGTGAGCTTTGCTCTACCATTCTTCTAAGTAGTTTATAATAATTAACTCAATATTCTCAGCAAACCTTGATTAGAGTTATTGTTTAGTTTTAAAAAATGATGCCCAGTGAAGATTGTCAGATAAATGATAAATAATTTTTATTATAAGTATGTCCCATGCAATATTTAGCATATGCTTATACTAAGAAAGTACTGTTTACCTGAAATTAAAATTAAAATTTAACTGGGCATTCTGTATTTCATCTGACAACCCTACCCTGAGAGGAGGTAGGAGCTAATCTAGTTCCTTGTACTGAGTGGACTTTGGAAAATAGTAATTTCTACCATTATTGGTATTGTCAGGTTATTTATTCTGACATCTGTTTTCAATTGTTTCTCTAGCCAACGAAAATCAGAAGCTATATGCATAAAGAAAATAATTATGATATATTAATAAAATAAATTAATAGTGCCTCTGTAACTCTTTCACTGATACGGTCTAAATGGAGCCTCATGATGATCCTATAAATATTGTGCCTATTTAATAATGAGAAAACTGAATCTTGGAGCCATTAAATAATTTGCCCAAGGGCACAGAAATAAAAAAAGCCTAAATTAGAAGGGGCACCTGGGTGGCTCAGTCAGTTAAGCGTCCAACTCTTAGTTTTGACTCAGGTCATGATCTCAGGGTCGTGGGATCGAGCCCCATGTCAGGGTCCATGCTGAGCGTGGAACCTGCTTAAGATTCTCTCCTTCTCCCTCTCCCTCTGTCCCTCCCCCTGCCCAGTTCCTGAATGTGTCTGCTCTCTCTCTCTAAAAAAAAAAAAAAAAAAGCTAACTAGAACATCACATTGTGGTCTCTAGGATATGAGAGCCATGTTATTACATATCAGGTTTTAAAATGAAGAAAATTGGAGTCTGGATTCTAGCCCCAATTTCCTTTAATGGCAGGACATATCTGAAAACTCAAAGCACAGTCATCTCTATAAAACCAGTCAGCCCCAAAAGAAAAGGCAGAGAGAAAAATCTCTTCAAAATCACTATTAAGTCATTGATAGGGATTTAAATGGTGCAACAAGATCATCTCACATACTTTTTTCTTGCCCCTAGTTACTACTTTTTCCTTGCCATGGTGCCACAACTCTCAGTGATATGTCTGGATAGTTTCCATTTATTGAGAAGTTTTAGTGTTCCAGATACCTTGATAAGAACTTCACTATCCCCTCAAAAACCAAGAGGTAAAATCCTCATTGCATATATGGGAACACTGAGGCTCTGCAAATTGTCAAGGTTTAGCTTCTGGCTAAAAAGTGACAGAGCTGAGCCTGCACCCCAATCTTATATTACTCCACAACCTATTCTTCTGACAGATGCATGACACACGTGCTACCATGATCGGTCTGATGCCCACTGCAGACATGACTAGTCAATCATGGTGTTCTTTCCCTTTGAGCCCGGAAAGGAGCCCAGAATCCTTCTATAAACATTATTCTGGGCAGCCACTACTGGTCAATAGCAGCAGACATTCAATGTCATTACCTACTAGCTACCCCTGCGATACCTCCTCCTGATGAACACCTCCATCGTAATGGCTACAGTGAAAAAATAGTCAACTCTGCAGGCTGCGTGATGAATGCTACTTTAAGGAGACTGTTTGGTAAGTCCCAGAAATGGAATTCATCTGAGATGTGATGGTTCAGAGGCTGCAGTCCAACTGCTACTTATAAAGAGAGAGAGAGGATACCATGTGAAGAGCCCGGGGCTCTCTGCCACCAAGCCAGTTGTGAAGCCACCATTTCCAAAGTCTTGATGCTGCTGTGATGGTCTGTTGCTTTCCACAGGAGGAAAACTGCACTCTACTCCAGCCAATCAGGAGGCTCAACATCCCGCCTCCTCTCTGAGGAGTTAGGTTTCATTCTCAGACAGCATGCTCTCACAGGCTAATGACTGGTTGGAAGCTGAGAGTGTCCTCACATTGTGACACAGCACAGATTTAAGAGAGCAACAGGCCATTCCTCTGGCTTCCCTGTCTGGAAACCAAGCCCAGCTGGTTCACTCCTTTGTGCCCCCAGTTCCCCCCACTATCCCCCCACCCCCAGCCCACATATAATGATGCTTTTCTTCTTTCCCTTTCTTGGGGGAAGGATTTAAGAGCTGCGTGGACACACCCAAGGCATTGTTAGTGAAAGTTCAGGAAGAGACCGTGAACCCAGTTAGGAATGAGCAGAATCAAAATGAGAGTGGGAGGGAGAAAAAAGGGAACATTATCCTTTAACTATGCCTATTGCTAAGATAATAGAACTCGTAGGTCTCACGATGAGGACCCCCAAATTATATTTAGGCCCCATCTTCCTCACCTCCATCATTGTCAAAACCAACCAAGAACAAGTTTATCAGGGTCAAATATACCTTGAGAGCCAGGAAAGGCTGTTCAGAGTCCACAAATAAAGCAGGGATGTAAAAACTTAGAAAGGTGGTCCAAGGGTGTGATATATTGCAGGGGGCACACATGAGGGGAAAGAGAAACAAGTGAGGGTCTAGAGCAGACATCCAGCACAGAGAGGCAACGAGTTGGAAGGGAATTGGTACCATGCACCATTATGAAGAGTGAGAGGATTTGTAAACACTGACATGGAGAGTAGCTAAGGGCTTAGATTCTAAAGCCCAGCTCTGAAGATTGAATCCAGACTCATCTCCTGCTAGCTGTGTGGCCTCAGACAAGTTACCTATAATCTCTAGGACTCAATTTCCCCATCTGGAAATGAGAACATTAATAGCACTTGTCCCGTGGTGCCGTTCTGAGAATTGTGTGAGATAATTTGTATAGGGTGCTTAGCACAGAGACTGGCACCTAAATAATTCAGCACATGGAATTATCTCTATAATCTAAATATGTCTACAATATTCAGATTTTTAGAGGTTATATAATACTATTTATTAAATTATCCCATTTATAGAAAACATTTCTTTATACATATATACTTACTCACAAAAGGAGAAAAAATAAAGCTTTGAAAGATATGGACCAAACCCTGTTAACCATGGGGACACAATGATTTTTTTTTTCTGCTTTATATATTTCTGTATCTTTTGGCATTTATCTGTACTAGGAGCATGTATTATTTCTATAAGAAAATAAAGATACAACTATTAAAAATTCAAATCAAATGACTTCTGACCCTGGAGCTTGGAATTTAATGTGAGTTCTAAAAGAGACCAAGGTGGCCCCAACATCCTTAAGGAAGAAACAGATGTTCCCTGCTGGGGTCAGCCTTAATGACAAGAAAGGACAACCACTTGGTAAGAGTGAAAATGACAAGGATGAAAGTGCTTAGTGATGCAAAATGGAGCAAAACGGGCAAGGTGTGAGGCCACAACACACAAAACCTTGTAGTTTTCGTACCGAGAGTAGATATGACCCACCTTCCACCATTTTTAATGAAATAAGGTTCTTTGTATCGTCTTCCATGAAGGTAAAGTTTATTCCTCTGCCAGTGGCCATGTCTGGACTGCACAACAGGTGAATAAAGCTTGGAAAAATGGCAATATATCTCAAAGAAAAATTTTAGAGCCTATTTGCCAAGTGAAGAAGGATTTGTATGGCCGCCTTTGATTGAAGCACTCTGAACGTTAGAAAATAATTGTGAAAATATAAAGAGAGGCCTGCTGATTGGGTTGAGGTTTTGGGAACTGGCAATTAATCCAAGAAGCTGATTTTAATTGGATAGAGAGGGAATAAAATTTTTATTGTATTACTCTAGTTGCAATGCATTCCAAGTATGGTTTTTTTCAACCAGTATTTTATGAGTGAAAATAACTTTCTTGCCTTCCTATCTTTTGGAGAAGGCCTTGATGCATCTGAAAGCACCTTCATTGTACTGCAGCTTCTATCTGGGCCAATGAAACCATAAGCTGAGTGTTCTTAAGTAGCTCCAGGGCTGGAAGATCCACTTCCCAGGTGGCTCGTCCACACAGCTACGAGATGGTGCTGGCAGAGGCCCCGGTTCCTTTTCACACATGCCTTTTCAAAGGGCTGCTTGTGTGTCCTCTAGCGCTGTGGCTGGATTTGGCCAAAGCAAGTTATCCAAGAGACTAAGACAGGAGCTGCAATGCCTTTTATGACCTAGCCTCAAAGTCATACACTCCTAGCCTTAGAAGTCAGCTTAGACCAGTCCTGATTCAATATAGGAGGCAAATATGAAAGGGAGAAATAAAAGGAAGAGAGGATTGGGGGGGGGGCTATTTTTAAGAGTGGCTTCCATAGGCACCAATACATACTGACAGTTTTTAGAACCTACTAGAGGCAGTATCGAACAGAGATGATACTCTCGGCAGAGGTTATCAAAGCCTGGGTTAAGGGTTGGAAGTTTTGAATAATCACGAGGTCAGACTGTAAGGCAGAGTATGGGCAATTTGACCTCTGAAGTGTATCTGGGCTCTAGTTTGGACCCATTTCTTAGTTATTTCTAAGCTTGAGACCCTCTGCCCTAGAATAAAATGGACATGAGTGAATGACTGGCTCCTTCAACAAAATATGTGTCAGACCCAGTGCTAGGTCCTGTAGCTACCCCTATCTAACAGTGCTTGTCCCAAGGAAGACTACAAATACTTGCCTGATTAATGAATTATAATTTTTCACAAGAAAAACATAGGATGCTCTGGAGACAAAAAATAGCCAGGCAGTATCGAGAAAGTGCTAGTAAGCTCAGAAATGATGAGTAGGAGAGATCCAGAGAAGTGGGAATGAGGAGGGAGTTACCAGTAGAGGGAACAGTATGTACAAATCCATGAGTTGGGAACATGCTAGGGGACTGTGAATCCTGACTGCCTGGCCTACACCCAGGAAGTTACTGGTAACTGGGATTCACTTGACTCAGTGCTTGATTACTGGGAGAAAAGTCTTCATCATTTAATACCAAATTATTTCTTCTTTCAGTTACAGATAAAGACATGCAAGCTGTTTTCCAGATACCCAAAATATTAAGGCAAAGTTGTGGGGCACATCTTAGGAGAAGAAAACTTCTATCTCACAGAATAGAAAAAAAAATGCCTGAATTAGAAAAGAAAATAGAACTGGGCATTTAACTGCTAAAAGCTCTGGTTCCTTCCAATGCCTGAAATTAAACATGAACAGTTCAAGAAATAATGTGAAGTGGGTATTTAAATTTCATGGCCACTGATGTCATCGCCATCATTTTACACAGGCAAATCATTACAAAGGGGTATGCAGCTTTTTGTATGGATGACCAGTGCCATTCCTTTTCTGGGCTCTGAAAGAACCTCAGATATAAAAATCATAAATTAACAAAAGCATAACCATGTAATGGTCCCTTTAAGATAAAACTGGCAGTATTTAACTAGAAATTACTGACTGTTCCAGAAATGACATTTTGTGTTCGGCAGTAAGAAGGAGAGCTTTTTTGTGTGTGCTGTCTCCCCTCCCATTCAGTTACAACAATGAGTCACCATTACCTGCAAAGCTAGACATGTAGCTTCGCTTCTTGTGCCAGAAAGACAAGACAGACACTAGTTGGCTGGGATTTAAAATCAGAAGGGTAAAAATGTTTAATTTACAGATTTAATTAAACATGAAAGCTTCCAGGAAGGAAAATATGTCCCCCATCCCCCATTCCCCACCTTTATAAAAATGTCTCTACTGATCTTCATTCCAAAGAGGCAACATACATTAGAGAACTAATTTCTAATGATTTGTGTAAAACATCAATTTGCCCCAAATTAGAAAGACTGTGTAATGAGGACTGGTACAGACAAAACTCCCAAGTTTTATCTGACGAAACCACACCTCTAAAGGAAATTTCTTTACATGTGTTTCTATAAAGGCTGTGTCTTCTGCCCACCTATCTTTGGCCTCCATGAGGCACAATGAAGGTGAGGTAGTGGAAACATAAGCTCATATGTTTCTTAAGAATATGATGATTATGTACAATGTACAACAGGCCTGAGTTACCTCCTAAGACAACGTCTCTCCCCAGCTCTTTTCCCCCAAACGAGGTCTTCCCAGCCAAGAAACCTGACTCTTATTTTCATAATGCTTCAGGCATGCATAGCAAAGAACAGCTCTTTCTGCCGCTATAGTTTAGGCAAGACCCCTGCATCTGTGCTGAAAAGTTAGAATTTCACCTCTTTGTCTTTGGGAAACTGAGTAGTCAGGGGAAAAAAAAAAAAAAAACAAGACTAAACTCCTACTACATCTTTCCAAAAATAATGAACAACGAATATGAATACATATTTTTAAAACTATCTCCCTATGGAGCTTACAGAGATACAAATATGTATGTATTTCATAATATTCAGTGGGTTCTCTGGGCATGGATAGGTGGCCCTATAACTTAATCCAAGATCTCTTCAGTATCTGCATATTCAACTCTAATTATGTTTCAGATCCTGAAGCCCAATTTTCTCCATTTTAATGAAATGTGTCCAAACGTGACTCTCATGAGTAAGTGGCAAAGGAAGGGTATGCTCTGGGATATTGGAGGTGGTGGTGAGGTGACAATAAGCTGACAGCTTTATAACAAAAAGCAGAAAAGGGGGGTGCTGAGCCCTAAGTGAAGACGGAGCATATTTTTGTGTGTGGAGGAACCGAGTCTCTTTTTTTTTTTTTTTTTTTTTTTTTTTTTTTTTTTTTTTAAAGATTTTATTTATTTATTTGAGACAGAGAGAATGAGAGAGAGAGAACAAGAGCAGGGAGCGGGAGAGGGAGAAGCAGACTCCCTGCCGAGCAGGGAGCCCGATGCGGGACTCGATCCCGGGACTCCAGGATCATGACCTGAGCTGAAGGCAGTCGCTTAACCAACTGAGCCACCCAGGCGCCCCCGAGTCTCTTTTTTAAGAGAAAAGGAGACATTTTGACAATAAGTGGGAGAGTATTTAGTTTCTCTAAAGGGATTTTTCAGGAGCACATTGCTCAACAGAAAATATTACCTAGATGAGATTGTTTGTCTAGCAGACCAGAACTGTTTTTAATTCTACTTTCTGCACTGTTAGTACTCAACAAATGAGCAGCTGTATTCCAAGAGTGATAAGTCAAGTACATTCATTGCTCCAGTATCTCTGCATTCAAGGTTGCCTTCTTGAACACAGATAGTCATAATGGACAAAGGTAGGCACTCTTAAAGGGACATTCATGTTTGAGTCTCCTTATATATTTCCTTTATACCACCCACAAAAGACTTCTATTCTCTTTTTACTTTTCTATTAAATTTCCTTAATATCTTTGATATTCAGTACCAGCTTCATCTTTACTTTTACAGAAATGTTTATAATTTCTCAAATTCATTCCCAAAGAGAAGACAATGGCATCCAGAAAGACACTATGAACTCATCATTTTGTCTGCTAAGTACACCTCCCTTCATCAAAAAAGAATCTCCTTTAAAGTGGGAAATATTCCTTCCACAGCTTTTGGTTCTAATAGAGGTTGCCAATCAGTTTAACCCACCCACTTGTTTAAATTATGAGCATGTGACCTGGCTGGGCCAATCATCGTGCCGTCCCTGTGGGATTGGCCAGAGAAATCCACATCTGATCAACCTAAGCCATTAAGAGTCCTATTTGGGATTGAAGTGGAGGCACCCCTTTGACTCGGGTGATGATGAAACTGGGAAGAAGTGAGCCTGGAAGATCCCATCAAATCTGCCCCTGGCCAGGGGAGGAAACTGAGAGAGGAAATGGAGCCAATCATTTTGAGTCCTGTCTCTGTCATTGTTCATGCAGCTCTTCTTTCAGATATGTGAGCCACCCACAATTCTGCCAACGAATCACCCTCTTTTACTCCTTTAGTAATTCAGGTTGGGTGTCTGTAACTTCCTGATGAATGCAGGTTCTAATAGTTCTAAGAGCATCAAGAAGCACCTTGCACAGTGGTGTGCACAGAATAGGCACCTAATGTATGTGGGTAAATTGAAGGGCAATTTTTTTAAAACACATGAATTGTAGAGAGCAGAAGAGGGATTTCTAAATTGGATAACTGAATTTTATTGTTATTATTGGCACAAATAGTGACTTTATGTCAGGGCTACTAACATTTCAGGTGTTACTATGTGAAGTGATTAAAAGAACAGACCAATGCAGTCCAGTGGAAATACAACTTGAGCCACATATATAATTTTAAATCTTCTAGTGGCCACATTTTAAAAAGAAACAGGTGAAATTAATAATAATATTCTATTTTATTTAACCTATCAATAACTTATAATTCATCATATAATCAATACAAATTAATCTGATATTTTAATATTCTTTTTTTTTTTGTACTAAGTCTTCAACATCCAGTATATATTTTACACTTATAGTACATTTCAGTTTGAACTAGCCACAGTTCAAGTGCTCAATAGCCACACATGGCTTGTGACTACTATACAAGACAATTCCCTGGTTTTAATTCTTGTTCCACCACTGACTAGTTCTATGACATTCAGAAACCTATCTGGTTTATTTGAGCCTCACTTTCCTCATCTGTAAGATGGGGAGAATGATAATCATCCCTTCATCACAGGATGGATAAAGATGTAGAGGTAAGGAGGCTGGATGAAGTTCCTGCCACACTGAGCTGTGTTCTGGTGGGGAACATGGACAACTTACTGACACAAATATAGGTAAACAGAATAATGTCAGAAAGTGCTAGACGACAATGAACAGGGGATGGAGAAGGCAAGTAACTCTTCAGGGAATGGAGTCTGCTTAGAGAGACTTATCAGTGTGGGCCTCTCCAAGAAGGTGATCGGTGACCTGAGAGGTCAACAGTGAAACACAGCCAGCCACATCACCATCAAGGTAGGA